ATCAAAAGGATTGGTGAGCAGGATGAGGCAGTTGAGAGGTGGTGGTGAGAATCAGGAAGATGAGGAGATGAAGAGATTGAACACAATAGTAAACTATATTTTTTGGGGGCAGCTGGGATTGATTAATAGGGGGAGGTTTCTGCCTAGGAAAACTATTAGGGTGATGCCAAGGTGGAAATCTAGGTTTTAAATGAGTTCATTATTGGGGGGGTCGAGTTGGGATTGATTAATTGGGGGTGGTTACTTAATCCTGTGTCAACATTATTAAGGGCTTCTCGTTTGCCAATGCCACTGCCTGGCATCTTCAAGACCCGCGGATCTGAGTCAAAACCCTGTCCTTTCTTTCCCAGCATGAGGATCCCGAGGTTTATTTTTTTTGGGGGTATGGTTCACTATGCAGCAACTGTTTTGATATGTTTTGATCCTTTTTGGGGGTCCTGGACTTTTCCGCCACACCCATGCAGCCCACGTGTCTTCGAATGTGGCAACTGAGGCCTGACCTTCCTTACCGTCCGTGGCTGTATCGAGTCGCCTTGCTCAGCGGGATCCTGTGGAACCTGCGACCGCAAAAAGCCCGTGACGCGCTCCTCCGGGCACCCACGCCCGCGACTGGGACGCAGGACGGCACAGGAATCTCCAGCGGAGCGAGGGATCGGAGGTTATATACGGCATTGGCACTGCTCTACAGTGATTAACTAATTGACCATATATACATCCACAACGAACTCAGCTCAAAGCATTTTGCTGGGGATTGGATTGCGTGACACGACATGTTATGTTGGATGTTGGCACATATTGCTTCCTTGATGTTCTTTTGACAATCACTTTTGAGATGATTTCTAAACAAGGGGGTGCTGAGCGTCATTTGCTGAATCGACACGATGCACATTCGCGTTGATGTATGGAAGACATAGACGAAACCCAATGGAAGAGACTAGTCTAGGGCTTTAAATCTAGGACACAGCAGTGGACACAGCTTCTCCCCTGTGCATGAATGGAATAGCTAGGATCTATGACTTGTCCCATCGCCATTCCGTAAACTCGTGCCAAGGGTACTGTCCATCAGTTGGACCTCAGCAATGAACTTACTGTATAAACATTGAACTTGAGCCTGCTTGATTTTGAAAGAACCAGAAGCTCTTGCTCGGTGCTGTCTTCCCGCTCCCACTGTCGAGTCGCTGAGGTGAGCTGCACTCCGGAAGAGTTGAGGCAGCTCAAGGCCTTGCAAACTTTAGCCAAAGAGAAGGCCATGGAGCAGGCGAAGGCAGGGCTCTGTGGAGACTATGGAGAAGTCAGAGAAGGGTCAGATACCGATTCCCACCCAGCCTCCAATGTCCGATGTCGGAACTTCGACCGATGACGCACACCCTGGTACACATGAGATTGCCATGCCGTCTCACTTGCTGGTTTAGTGGTTTGAGCCAACGAGAACTGCAAGAACTGGACCATGCCTGAGGCCGCAGGCCGCCCCTGGGCCGATGAACGAGGTGGGCTTCGCTTCGGAGAGTTTGGGGGGAGAAGTGCGCTTTACTCGTCCAGAAAAAACACAGCCTGTGTTTTTCATGTACTACTGTACTTTGTTTTTCTTGGTTTTGTTTCCCTAGAGTTGTTTCCACTTGGTTGTGTGGCCACATTCATTTTAGTAAAGGTTGCAAGTGGCAAGTGCTGGATGTCCGTTGGTCAGAATTAATTAGACATCCAGTTGCTAGCAGGCATGACAACACATGTAAGATTGCCCATTCTGGAATCTATGTCCCTTGCTTCATTTGCAAGTTTGGCCATTTTTTTCCATGTGCTCATGTCCTGAGAGGGGGTCAAACATGTTTTTTTTTAATAAATGTTTTTGTATGTTTTTGTTCACACCCAGGTCCAGCGGTTCAGGACGCTTCAAGGGAACTTGTGGGGGCGGAAAACCCTTTGCACCGCTTTGTTGCGGACATGGGCAACATGACCCATATCCATCCAGATCCGCTGGACATGTGCAAGAATGTGCAACATGTCGACTCTGCCCGCTGCTTTTGGGCCCCCACTGCCCGGGGCTTTGGTTCGGCACAGGTCATTCTGACTCTGAACGACCTGTAGCAACGCCCACTCGTACGCAAGGTGCGGCTGTGGTTGTTGTTGGAGCTAAGCTCATCGCGAAGCAAAGTCGATCTATAGTTCTTGCAAAGAACGTTGTTTGGTTTGGACGGCAGTCGGTTGGTTCATGAGCCATGATGCGTGCCTGAAATTGCAGAGTCTTGGAGTCCCACACAGCAGAACATCGTGATCCTTTTCACTGTTCTGAATAGACTCATCGTTGTATTCTGGCACCTCAGATGACCTATTCACTGTTGAGCATTTGCTGAACCAGGCAGTCTAAGTCTAACCCCAAGTACTGCGATGCCCTTCGTCACTTTCTTGCCAGGCAGCTCTCCTGGGTCGCAAGAAGCGCAAGAAGCTCCTCGTAGACCTTCGCTTGCTCCCAAAGCAGCCTTGCCGCAAGGTGGGCCAGCGAGCACTTCGTGCAAAGGAACAACGGGTTCGATGTTGGGTTGGTTCTTGGAAAGGTTCTAACGGCATCTGGGGGCTTAACCTCACCAAAAGGTTGAAGGTGCCAGGGAGTTGATGCTGAGCTCTTTTGGGATCGGACCCCTTCAGCTTCACCAGCTATGGACATGACCAAGCTGGGATGTTGACCTGAGCACACCCACGGAAAGCTAGAAAAAGCACCCGAGCCTTGCGCGCACTCACGGAGTCCTGGGAGTCCTGGGCTGCAGGTGTGCCCAGTATCCAGCTGCTGGATGTCCAGGGCTCCGCAGGTGAAGCAAAGGTGCAAGGTGGGACGAGTTGGTTTTGGGGCGCACCTGAGGGCATTGGCAGACATCGGTAGTCAGTCGATTCACTTTCTTTCAAGAACTGCTTGGCCATGCTTGCAGCCTCGAGGCAGTGGACAGGGACTTAGGAGGATGGCCCACCAGAAGCCATCGATTCTGTATGGTGGCCGCCTCTGTGAACCAAGTGATATCATTTTGAGCCAAGACAGGCGGACAATCACTCACTAGACTCTAAACACTTGGTAGATGGTTTCTAAACATTCTAAAACACTCTGTAGATGGCTTCTAAACACTCCAAAATAAACACTGTAGACACTTAAGCCTTAAGCTTTTGTGGTAGGTACGGTAGGAGAACACCACGTATACCGGGGCCCGAGTGCATGCCTTCTCCAGGACAGATTCGGCGCCGGAATCGTCACCGCACAGGCGCCGGAATCGTCACCGCGTCGGACTGTCGCTGGACCCAGTTGAAGTAGGCAGCAGTTGAACCAGTTCCTTCGTCACACACCAGTTACAGTCCGTATCGGCTGATGACTCTGTTAAGAAAGACGCTTTTTTAGAGTAGACTCTAGATTATTTCTTAACTAGAACCTTTTAATTAAGAAATGTGGCTAGCAGGTAGACTCTAAATAAGGTTTCTTATTCTATTTTCTCCCTGTCAACCCTTCTTAGACCATGAAATCGCTCTCCCTCGAGCTCTAAATCGCTCAACCGCATCGCTATGCGCATGGTCTTCGACTTCTTCGACCCGTATCCCCGGATGTTGTATAATGTTCTATCATGGTATAATGCTCAAGAATTCAAGAATCTGAGATGAGGGGAGGGAAGGAGGGAGGCTCAAAGTTGAAGGCTGCGATGGGACTTCTAAAGGGTTTCAGACCAGTTTCAGACCACCCGAGAGGACAGGTTGGGGACAGTTTTTTTTGAAACAGGTTTAAGCAAACTGAGGCTTTTGCTCTACGTACGTATCATGGAAAGGGGCCATAGATGATGTCAAGTTTGTCATTAAGGGGTCGCGCTCTTTCTCTTTCTCTCTCTCTCTCTCTCTCTCTCTTTCTTTCTCTTTGTGGCAGGGCCCTTCAAATTAATCCCGTCCCCCTAATAATAAACACGGGCCCCCCCCCCTATTAAAAAAACCTCGGTCGCATTTTTTTAAATAGGGGGTCCCTGAAATCGGGGGGGCCAAAATAGGGTCACCTGGAAAGAGTTTCAAAACCAAAAAGTAATCCAGGAAACTATTATATAAAATCCTTTATTAAACTCATATCAAAAATGCAAAAAACCGCCAGATCGAAGGGTCTTCCTTTTCCCCTACAAAAACATTCATTAGAATAGTGATTCTTCAGTAGACTAACAGCTAAAGCTTTCGAAAGGTGATGTCGCTGTGCCATGCGGTGTTGCATGACCTCGGTGGCAAGTGCGTTTGCGTGAGTCCGTGCCATTGAGGGAAGGAAAGCCTGCTGGTGTAAGCGCGGCGTGTCATGGTGGAGTTTTGGGGAACCTAATTTAAAAAACTACCCCCAAAATCGACCATGTTGGTAGTTTAGTAGCGGTTTGAAAGGGCGGCAATTTAAAACCAAATATAAACCGAATTTAGGGGTTCGGACGTGGGGTTTTTTTAATTGGGGAGTGTTTATTAATAGGTACTCGGGATTAGAACTTAATACGTATTAAAAAAACGGTTTTTTGACAAAAATAGAGTCTAGAAATAATTTACTTTTCAGAAAAAATAGAGTCTACTTTCTTGTTTAAGAATATTTCTTGACACAGATAGAAGCCGTACACACACCTACTGTTTTTGGGTTGATTTCCGAATGGACTCCAAAAAGGCACGCTCATGGCATCCATTGTTTCCCTTCTTACATGCGTGGGGCTTGTCGTTTGGTTCGCACGTGACAGGAACCTCGTTCCACATCACCCTCCACGACTCCTCGGGAGAGATCGACGTGAAATTCTGGCAGGAGGCCGGTGGAGGAGACATGGAATCGCACACGTTGACAGGATATACCCGATATATAGACTGCAGCGGCTGCCATCACCACAGCAAAGACGCATTGTAACTGTAACTCTCATTTTGTCAAGTGAATTCCTAGCCCGGGACATCATCACTGAGAAAAGGCTAGAAAGGAAGTAGCAATTATGCTATGCGCCTTCCTGCACAGCAAGAGCGGTCCAAATCAGGACCTGGCGTGAATTATGTATAGCCAATTAGTCAACAAATACTATAGGTTGCAAAAGGTATGTTTCACAGGGAGCAGTTGCAGATGCTTGGTGTGTAAGATGTTTTTTTCTGTGTCAAAAAACTCTAGTGTTGAATCCCCTGGCTCCACCTACACCTACAGGCTAAGAGAAGAACCACCAAAAATCTAAAAACATTAAACAGTAATGTGCAAAAAGAACACTGGAATACGTTTTTGCATGGTTCTACGATGATGTACGTCCAAGCCAGTAATGGTTTCCAAGCAACATACTCACATGAGGGCCACAGTCCAACCAATGCCCACAAAGGTAATGTGTTTGTGATTAATTCTTGCATTTTATGTATCTCTTAAGTTTGTGTTTGAATATTATTATTTTTTTTCTGTTGCATTTTGGCAAGGCAACAGCACAGGCAATCCGGCCGCAAAAATCGAGAAGTCCCCCCGTAGACACATCAGAAAAACCAGGAACATGGAAAAGTTAGCACTTTTGTCGTCGGTTGTATTTTCTTGCGGCTGTATTTGTAGTTTTGTTTTTTTTGTATTTGGTTTAGTTTGGTTTTTGTATGTTTTTAGGGTCGTATTTTTGTCGGTATGTTTTTGGCGGTTGTATTAGTTTTATCGTTTTTTGTGCTTAAAAAAACATATATATATATATATATCTGTTTTGTGATTAAAAAAAAAAACAATCACCCACGAACTGCGAACCGGCAAAACCCACCGAACCAATTGTTTGACGGCCGGCAAAACGTAGAAAGGGCCGCCCAGCAACCACAAAAGGTTGCTCCAAAAGACACGGGTGCCAACTTCCCATCCCACCTGCATCAATGCGTATCAAATGACAATTTCCTGACATGTTGTGTGCATTTTCTTCCTATTATAAAGGTGACATGTTCAAAACAACGAAAATCACATGTTATACAATGTTTAGAAAGAACCAGTGAAGAATTGTATTTTCCATGCAGTTGTTTTGTATATAATTGTATTTAATTTGTATTCTTTGTTCATACGTTCTGAAGTATATAATCGATTACAGACTGTAGCCAGAACCGGGCAATCGACTCTTGTGTTCAAAAGGACTCGCATAGAAAGTGCAGCAAGAGTCCTGCCCTAGCCAGGGCTTCAGCAAGATGTGCAGAAAACTTAATGAGCATCAACCTCTATTTGTTTGCCAATTTGCAGGCTGCCAGCAAATTCATGGAGGATTCCAGGCTTCAAGAGGGCAACGCTGCCTGGCTTGCATTTGGCCACACCTCCATCCTGTCCAATCCTGGGTCCGTCAGGTGGTGAACCGGTCTTCGAGTATTGGCGTGCAGGATTGAAAACTGTGCATGTGGGTCAAAGCCATATGAAACAAACAGCCATCCTGGTGCTTTTGAGTGCGCGAGAGGAGCACATTGACCCACCACCTAGAACATGGGCAGACCCCATGGTTTTTTCAACCAGCACTTTAGCATAGCAAAGCCTTTGTGTGTTGAACATTGTTGAATTGTTGTGTCGGGGCATATGTGCTGGCCCCGTCCAAAGAAAAGGCAAGGCTGAACAGACCGTGGCAGCTGAGGTTGTGCTGCTGAAAGGATTTTCCTTCACCGAGCTGAAGGTGCGAACGTTCGGAACGCGGGAGGGCGGCATGGAAGCACCTATAGGGCCACGAGACGTAGGGTTCGTTTGGCCTTTATTGTAAGGAGGGCAACATCCTGAGGACCGCAACGAACGTGATCATTTTGATCATCATTAGGATTTTAGCATACATTGGGTCGATAGAGCATGTTGGAGATTATGACCACTAATGCAACCTATGACATATGATATGCAGGAACAACACTATATCAACTGTCGTATTTGTATGACCCTTCGAACTACAAGGAGAGAGAGAGAGAGAGCTTGTTCCGCTTCCATGACATTGCTGGGCTGAACTGAAGCTTCGAATGGTCAAACTGTTTTTTTCATGTTCAAAGCTCCTGGACTTGTCAGGGTTGGAAAGAGGTTGAGGTGTTCTTCGGAGATTTCTCCCTATAAGCGGGAGGAGCGCTTGCCCCAACTTCCTTTGTGTTTCCACCTCAGATGGGCATCCTGGCAGAGAATCATACGGGGGGTGGCTGGGATTCCGAAAGCCACCGAAATCACCGTTGAGGGCGCCAGCTTGGAGTTTGCCCCCGCGGGCCGAAAGCATTGTCTCAGCTTCTCTGTGGCGTCCTCGGTGGAGATTCAGCTCCTCAAGGTCGGTGGGTTGGTGAGGACGACGTTCGTTTTCATCATGTTGAAACTCGGAGTGTCTTCAGGCGTCTAGGTGTCTTCAGGTGTCTCCAGGTAGAGTCCATGTGAATTGAGGGACGACGTTGGCGTCTTCAGGTGTCTAGGGCTTAGACTCCATCCTTTCCGACTTGCAATGCAGGAAAACCAGTAGCCTGTTTGACGCACCGGTCCCCAGTCGGTCGGCAGCGAAGCCTCGGCCCGGAAAACCCGTCGCAGGACATGCCCGAGACCACGGTATCGGAAGCTCGACGCTTGCCGTTGAACGCGCGCCTGTCCCTCCGCGCGCGGGTGCAGAGCGTGGAGAGCTTGAACGTGGCACAGCCGGGGATGAGGCCCAAGCGCACTGGGGGGCGTGTGACTGGGAACAGAAAAAGCAGGAAGGTCGCTCCAACTGTAGAAACAATCCAGCATTCTTCAGATGCAAAGATGGCAAGATGAGTATATGCCAGTTGCTCTAGCTTGAGGTCAATCATAAGCAATCCATTCATTAGATTTCATTAGTACAACATGTAACTATAGTAGAGCAAGCCTAGCCGAGAGTGCCGAGAGTTGATATAAACCTCCTTTTCATTGTGCGTATACTTGTTGACGCCTCTACGACACTTCGGAGGTGGCAGTGCATGCGGAAGATACACCTGCAAGAGCTAGAAAGAGAAGAAGGCTGAAGAAGCAGCAGGGTTTGATTGAAGTCTAGCTTAATTACGCACCTGATGTGCCTGCATCGGTGTATAAAGACAAGCCTTCCCCTTGGAATTGGTGTTCAGGGGCTCCATCGCCGCCAGACTTTGGGGAGTGTCAATCCCGACTAGACTGGATGTTCCCGCCACGGGATCCGGGCAGAACCCGGTTCTGCGCCAACACACATGATTTCTGAGGTGCCTGTTCAAGCAAAACCGTTTTTTTGAAGCACTGCAAACGCCAACTATGTTTGTCTCGAAGCACTTTTGGAGTCGTTTTGCATTCCAAGGGCAATGCTTTCAACCAGCTCCTTCAAAGTGACCTCAAACCAGGATAGCAAAGGGTCACTTTGAAGAACCATGCATGTTAAATCAATGTTTGGAAACGCCAAGGTTTCCGACCAAACGGCAACTTTTGCTCACAGCTAACTTTGGCAATCTCTGTAAAAGATGGTAGAAGCCTGAAGTGGTACATGTTTAAGTCAAACGGCCTTTATGAAAGCAACGACCAAATATAGTTAGTATATATTGTGTGTGCGTATTGTGTGCGTTTTGTTTTTCCGCAAGACGGTGGAAACACATGCACCCTGGTGGAAGGTCCTGGAATCACATTGACGCTCTGGAACCAGATGGCCCGTGACTACGGCGAAAAGCAGCTGCCGCCGGGCCAACGGATCTTTGTCCGAAATGCCAAGGTCACTGAGTACTTGCGAAGCAAAGAGCTCACTGGGTGCTCTGAGATTGCGCTGATTTGAGCAAGTAGCTTGATCACGCGAGCTGGCACCATCGGGAGGCTGATGGAGCTTGACCTGCAAATGATAGGAGGCCAATCTTTGACAGCTGCCTGTTGTGCTGCTTTGCTCGCGAATGACCTTTTATACGGGACATCCCGTGCCAATCCAGCCCATATCCCTTTTTGGGGAAACTCAAGTTGCGCGTTTGGTTTGGTTCTAGCACTGTGCAGATCAGGTTTGTGCAACATTTTACAGCCAGTAAGTCCATTAATCACAGTTTTAGCATGTTTTAGCAAGCAAGATCCTAGACGTCGCGCAGTAGGACAAGAGTGCAAGATGCATCCGACGAGCCAAGAGTGCTTCTTTATTTATGGCCCTTGATTGCCATAGCTCCGGTGGTGATGACCTTCCGTTCCATGTAGTCTTGGTCCTCTCCTGTAGGGTCCTGAAAGCAAAATATCTATTTGCTATCTTTGGTTGCAGCTTGCTGTTTGCACGCATCCGAGCTCTTACCATTTCTTACCATAATGTAGACTGACTCTTGATTCGTCAAACCTCCCATATGAAGAGGTCTTACAGTCTTACAATCAAACATGTGCATACAAAGTCTTTGGGCAAGGGCGCGATCCGAGTCACTAACATGGAAGTGGAAAACCACCTGTTTGTAGGCGAAAATGGTCATCCAAGATCATTTGAAGGCCATGCCATCCACTTCCATGATTGTTTCAGGGAGTGTAAATCAACATGAACGCATAATTAAACCATGGCTCATAGTCATATATAGTCATATGAGTCATATGTTGAGAGGGAGCGGAGTTCCTGCCACCAAGCAGACCACAGGCAAAACGTCCAAGTGTGTGGAGAGCGCATGTTCTTCCAGGGAAGTACAATCCAGAAGAGCAACTATATGATATGTTACAAGATAGTATATATATAATATAGTCCACATCATTCTTTGATGTTCCCAACAAAATGCGTTCATTGCACACCCACTAGGCCAATGATTAGGCGCTGTGTTGCTCAAGGCTTGCTACCGGAGCCATAGCGTCAGACTAGGCCCTGCTGCTTATGAGAGCATCGCTTGGAGTCCCATGTATGGGTTTGCTTTGGAGAAAGTCAAGGGAGGGGCCTCGACTCCAGAAGGTGGGTTCGACTCCAGGAGGTGAGGTTCGACTCCAGGAGGTGAGGTTCGACTCCAGGAGGTGAGGTGGGCCCTGCCTTGGTGTGTCAAGATCTACTGTCTACTGTCTTGCTTTGCAGGGGCTGGGTATGTCTTGAACAACTGGACTTGCTGAATTCGGGACATCTGGAAAGATATTATATTCCAGGTTGGGAGCCATTAAGGAACAAATGAGGGTTCAGAGGAAGGTTTCCATTAATTCATATCGTCATTAAGTAATTGTGCATGTGGCTTATATCATATGAAGAGATAACATAGAAAACACAACCATCTCAACACTAGGTCACTAGGTGATGCCAAAGGAAGCCGCATGTTTTTGGTGTTGCAACATTATCCTGCGGTTCTGCTTTCCAACCCTGGCACTTTCGTTCTCTATCCCCAGCCAGTCACTAGCTAAGTGTATGGAGGAAAAAAGGCGACCCCATGGCCTTAGCCAAAAAGAATGCCCGGGACTCCATGATGACTCACCTGTAAAGTAGGGGTTCGCCTCTTCTGAGGCCTTGGGGGGAAATCGCAAGCAAGCAAGACCTGAGCCAAAAAACAAATTGAGACCAGATGGACGACGGGGACAGGGATAGCTGAGCTATGAGCTGAGCGAGCTGAACTGCATTTCATCGGTTCAGTGAGATGCGTTTCATTCTTTCGCGAGCATCGCTGATGGCTTTCCGCCAACAGGTCGTCTCCTTCACTAGCGCCACGAAACTCAAGCTATTTACATGAACTTTATAAGTGTATGTTGACCTCCACCTGCTGCAATCCGACATGGACTGCAAAACGCCAATGAATTGTTGGTAGAGGAAATAATTGCTTGCAGGGTTCTGAAGGGGAAACGATGAAGTTCTGTCTAATCCCAGCGAACCATTAGAGGCAGCAATCTTGCAAGCCCGGCAGTTGTCAGCCTGTCATTTACTTGGTGCAGGAAGATCACACATTTGCAGTTTGAAGACTTAAAGCATGACTTAACCATCTCAAACATCTCAAACAAAGCTCACATCCACTACTTGGTCTACGTCCCACACTTCGAAGTGAATGTTGCAGCACACACATACGCCACCGAACCCCCCCCCGTTCCTTCTGGGTTTTTAGCCTGTGACCTCGCAAAAACCGGCTTGGATCGCCAGGCTGGGGATCCTCCCGGTGCCCGGCTACGATGGTCACAAGAATCATGGCATCCATCTGACCACTGGCGAGGCCGTCACCATCGGTTGCGGTCGACGTTTCTACCCGCCTCATGCGGAGGTCCGATCCTGGAAAACCGGACCATCCGATCCATACGTTTGTAGATGGTTTGAATTCCCCCCCCCAACCCAGTGGCGACAGAGACATCTAAATCTGTGAGTGCGCAGCTCATATGAAGCGGTTCTTCTATGCAAATGGAGGGGAAATTCTACATGATGTGGTTCCGGATTGGGTGCATGCTGTACCAGTCCGGTGGGGACACAAGGAAAAAGCGCTACCGTGTCGTTGACCGTGTCGTTTTCACGTCGTCATTCCGCTGCACGTCGTCACGCGCCAACGTCGTCATGTTCCGTTTTGAAAGGTGGGATGCTTCATGAGCCACTTCACCATTTGGCATCATATGGTGAAGTTCTACACTCAGACCACGGATCACCAAGGGAGCTTAGACTTAGAGGCTTTTTTCGGCCAGCGGGATATGTTTTTCGTTCTCAGGCGAGGTGTTTGAAGCCATTTCTCCGGCGCACTGTCAAAAATTGTGTCACAGTGAGATATTTGGTGCAGAACATTCCGACCGCGCGATCATTTGAACAGCCTTCCGAGCTGATGACAGAAGACTTTTCAGATGGCAGAACACGCGAACACGCTGGACAATTCATCACTCAAGACTCAAGGGATGATCTTTAGTTGCAAAGTTTTGGGTCGTGTCAGTGAGGGCATTGTGTCAGATGTTCCATGTCCATCCTTTGCGAATCATATCGAGCCCATCAGTTGATGAGGCACCAGATTCCAGCCGCATTGATTCTGGAAGATGACTTTGATTTGCAGCCAGACTTTGCGTCTGCCTGGCGAAGTTGTTGTTTTCCTCGAAGCATGTGGAAAGGGTAGCATGCTGAAGCTGGATGTGAAGAGGGTGACCGTAACAGTGCAGGGATTCACTCCATAGTGACATAGTGCATAAAGTTACCCCCTACCTCAGGCTCGCTCGCGATCATGTTCTGAGTAATGGGAAAGCACCAGGGCCGGAAGATTTCTGGCAAGACACTGTTCAAACAGTCACTTCAACTAGACCCTATACGCGCGGAATGGTCGTGTTACGAACGTTTAAAACCTGATAGGACATGCAGGCACAGTGCTCCTGACCTGTACGATTGTTTGAAGATATGCTGCATGTTCATGAGTAGATGCATGTACATGTCTAAATTAAGCAAGCTTCCGAAGATAAAGAAGATGTCCCAAACTGACTTACCCTTAGCACTTTGATGTTTTTTTTGGTCTCTCACGCAGATGTTTTGGATTTTAAAAGCTAGCCTCCGGTAAAACTATTATCACATGGGAGCTGAGTAGGGAAGGATTTTCCAACGCACTACCTGCTGTTGGGGTCAAGTTATGTCAAGTTCTATGTTCGTTCAAGGCGGCAAAAGAGAGACTTGAATTTGCAGTTGGAAATGATTGCTTGCAACCCGCAAGTGCTCAAGTCTCTCCCCTCCGCTCCCCTGCGCCCCTCAACTTGATCGTCGGAACGCCGAGTTGCCGAGTGAACACTCGACAAATCCAAGAGAGCACCATGGGTGCCACGGGGTCTTCATGGTTCTTGCCGAAGCATCCGGAAGGCCCCTTTTTCATCATTGGCCAGGACCAAGTTGGGAGAATACTTGGAGGAGGCTGTGCTCCTCTTCCCTCGCTGCATTGATGTCAACGTGCTAGGTCTTTGGCACTTGGTCATTTCTGTCGGTCTGGTGGGAGACAACCTGTGGGTGGCAATACTTTAGCCGAAATGCTGTTGTTTGATGTTAATTATAATCATATGTATTCATATGTTCATTGTAGCTCATCCCAAGATATCGTTTGAAGCGTGCACAATTCTTGAGAGTAAGACCTGGAGAAGCGACATCATTTATCTTGTGGCTTGCACACTGCAGCAGCAGGCCCGTGGCTACGATTGGAACTTGATGTATGTTGGGCCCGGTTGCCTACACTTGTGCCGACAGACGCGAAGAGTGGTGAAAAATTGCAGTCAGAGAGGAGGACTTCATCAATCCCACTTGCAGTTTCAAGCCCGATTTCATTTTGCTCCCAGCCTGGGTTGCCTCACCTCTCACTGGCTTGGCCAGGAGGGTGCACCTGTTTGAATTCATGGAGTTGCCACACTGAACAGGTATTCTAACTGGACATATCTCGACTTGTGTGCATGGCCCTGCCCTCAGGCGAAGCCCCACAGAGGCGGATTGGACCAGGCTGAGCGCTCACGTGGTGGAGCCGGGCTACACTCTTTGGACGGCCGCTTGGTTGCGAGGAAGGCCGTTGCGACATGTTGCGACTGGGTCACGCGACGACCAGTCAACGTGGGAGCTGATAGTCTCAAACGTTTGAGGTGGGAGGTCCACTTAAGAGGTGAGCTAAGGTTTTCTTCTGGTGACCTAGCTTGGTGAAAACATCCCAGTTTTCCTCTCTAGTCTTTAGTCTTTAGTGTGGTCCTTGCAGGCCTTCCTTTCGTTTAAGTAGGGCTGTTCCTTTCCTTTTTCCATCTTGTTCCTAGTCTTTCCTCTTCAACATGATCTTTGATGGTGCGGAGCATTTCTGTCAGCTCATGCTGGTCGTTGATCATGTGAGTCTCCCGCTCTGTACGACCGGACGCCATGGGAAAACGACCGGCTCCGCTGGACCTGGACCTGGAGCCAGTCAAAGTACTGCTGCCGTTGATGCAGTACCAGCGATGCCTGGTTTTGCCAGTGATTTGTATTTTCTTTATGGGATCTTATGGGTAATTAGTCGTTATTATGCAAATGGGTAGATGTTTGCTTCCGGGAAAATTGGGTTGCATACCAACAAATCCCAGGATGGCAGGTGATGAATGCCTATGCGGAGCGTCATTCGGAGACAAATGTCATCGAAGTGATGCATATCCTGTTGGCGGATCCAAGAATTCAGCTGGATGCTACAATCTATACCATTGGTATTTCAGTGACTTGAAGTGGAACAATTCTTAGGGCCCTGGCTTTGGAGTTGAAGCTTATATAACTATGTTGAGATATGAGATATGTGTTTTGTTCTCAGGCAGCCTGCTCTCCCAATCGTGCTCCGTCATTTTCAGTCAGGCTTGTGCAAGGGCCACGTTGCCACAGACAGCACTGGAGTTTTTTCATTCGATGCGGGAGAGGAAAGCTCAGCCAGATCTCATCGCCTGCAATGCAACTTGCCACAGATGGCCGGAGCTGAGAAGTACTGATCACACACTGTAAGAGCATTGAAATGCACTGACCGGAGGTGAAGTGCTGTTTCAAATAAAAGACGGTAGTCCAGCGGGTGCGGCTTGCTTCTTTAACCTTGCCTTCACTGAATTCACATGGATACCTTCTTGATTAGGCGAACACGCCTGCTGGTTCAAACGACCCTTTTAAGCAGCTCAGCATCGGATCGTTGACGGAATCACCTCCAGGTCACTTGTTCGGGTCAAAGCTTTCAGGGATAGCAGGCTACTAGAACGAGCAGGATAAGATCCCAAGTGCCGAGCTTTAGAATTTGAGAATGTGCACCACTAAGGCAATGGTGAGCTCTTGTGAAAAGGCTGGGCGTTGGCGGCCAGCTTTGACCTTTTTGGAGTCGATGCTCACCAAGAAACTTCAACCCAACATCGCCACTGAGCAGTTTTTGGTCTCAAAAGGGGTTCATTTTTAGCACCGCTGGGGGGGTACAGAATGCAGAATCTCCGAATCGTCCTGCAGGCATGTCGGGAAAGTGCATGGGGTGATGTTTTTCTCCGAATAATGTGAGCAAGGATGAGCAAGGTGGTTCACATGGGAATGGCACTATTTGCTGTACATTCTGTGGTTCGGCCCCTGTTTCAAGCCAGATGTTCTCAAATCAATGTCAAGAGCCAAAGCCACATGATTCTATTGGTATGGGCATGAATGGGCGTGTGGCAGCACCTCAAGCGCTCAATTGTCAACTCACATCCTTCTGTGGCCACTACAATAAACATTTTTAGTGGGGATCTACTTTTCTATCCATTTGGGGTCTATATATAAATAGATATATAGTATAATATATATAATATAAATATAGTATTTTTGTTGTATCAGCGGATGACCCATGCTTCGCTCTTCAAGGTGACCTTCAGTTCAACCATGAGCGCCTGTGAGAAGCAGTGGCAGCAGACGCTCTCCATCTGGAAAGCACTGGGCCAGGTGAAAGTTGAACCCAATGTCTTTAGCTTCTCGGTAACACTTCATATTGCAGATATTGTAGGCCAACATTGATGAAGTGCCTTTTTTGCATGTCACAGTGCCTTTTTTGTTCTGAAGTGCTGGTTTTTTGATAGACCTCCAGCAATGGTTGGTCTAGTTATCCCCGTGGAGAAGCCCAAAAGTTCCAATTGCTACACCGCTCAAACCACCGCTACCCGCCGAAAGACCTGAAATTCCGAGGCTGCACAGCCCGGGTGACATTTCCGCCCCATGGTCAGGCTACAATCTGTTGGACGCAGCCGAAAAGCACCAAAATGTCTCATGAAAATCATGAAAGCTCATCAAAGTTCTAATTTTCTTGTTACGATGTTGTTATGACTAAATCTGACTAAGCTTTAAAACGTGGGTCGTTTCTTTTATGGAACCTCGGAGCTTCTATCATAACATCCCACTGGTCCCACCACTTCTCAGGCTACAGCGCGGCAATTAGCTCGTATGAGAAGTGCGAGCGTTGGTGGCAGTCTTGGGAGCTCTTCAACCAAATGTCCGCGACTTGGTCCAAGTGGTTTCCGTTTTTACGCAGCGCGGAGTCGTGGCGCCAAAGAAGCCCCGCCTTGGCTCGTTGAAGCCGAAGATGTCGACAACGCGAGTTTCCAGGAGCCAACTTCGAGTACATCACTAATCCAGCAGTTCCAAACAGGTGCTTAAGCTTAGGGACTAGACACTAAACACCACCCCTTTGTGACCTTTGGATGCAGCATGATGCAGCAATTGCCGTTTTGGCGGCTTTGAGGGTTCCTCTCTAAGCAACTCGCGTGGATCTGCCTACAGCGAGCTTGGATTCCAGACCCACGTATTCATAGCCATTCCATGGACCCGATGTCCATGTCGAGGATTCGGGGAAGCGTCCAAAGGCAAAGAGACCATCTTGAGAATGAAATCCTAACTAAACCAATCTAAACCATACTAAATCTGTCCACCAGGGTTCCCAAGCGTTCGGCGTGGCTTTCGAGCACAGCTTGACGCAAGGAAGCAGGAATGCAGCCCAATGTGGCGTGCTTCAATGGGGCTTTGAGCTCGTGCGTGCCTTGGACATGATTCTGCCATGTAAAAAATGGAGCCACATGACAGACATTGCATTCTGAGAAGCAATAAAGCCCGTCAGATTCGATCAATTCAAGAGTCATGTTATGTTGCATCATTTTTGGTGTGCTTGGCTCTGTTCATATCGCCGATCGTTTTGGCTTTCCAAATTGATGGGAGATGCTCCAACATACTCCAACCCTTTGTTTTCATTGTGGTGACTTATCATATCCCACCATATTTTGTAGGAATCGTTGTCGAACCCCCTGGATCAAAACAGTAGACCGCACCATGATCACACCAATTCATCACTTCGCCAGAACATGCTGGGGTCTCGCACCGGTCTGAAACATTCCGATGACCGATCGACGCCACGAACCTGCAGATGCCACGAACCTGACGCCTGGCGCATCATGTCAGCACTGTTTCATTCGTGTTGTCTGACTCTGAGGGGAAGGGCGGCGAGTGGCCACAAATCCTCACTCACATGGAGGCCATGATGGGCAGATCTGTACTACCGAACCTTTGCAGCTTCACTTTGGCCATCAACTTGGCCAAGTGGCAGGCCAGGGGTTGGAGATTGAGGGATGAGGGGATGATACTGTAATAGGCTTGAGCCAATTTTAGGTTTTGGATGGAGATGTTTTGGGTATGGAGATGAGGCATTCCACCTAAACTGGGCCTGGAATGACTGGCGTGGGCTGTGACGTTTTTTTGAAGAAACCAGAGTCGGTGCTGATAACATTCTATTATTTGCACCATGTGAGCAGGATCTCACTTTTCCTTCAGGTGTCCTTGTGGCTTCTCCTGGCCATGCCCAAAGAGGATCTTCATCCAAATGCGATCACCTTTGGTGCCATGCTCAGCTCATATGCGAAGTCAGGGAACTGGCAACGCGCCTGGAGCACCCTATGCAGCCTCAAAGACACCAGGGCGAGGCCGAACCTCGTTTGCTGCAATGCTTTGATTGCCTCATGTGAGGTGGCCGGGGAGTGGCAAAGAGCTATGGAAGCATTGGAACTGACCTCCCAGTTCAACCTTCAACCTGATGCGATCACCTTCAGCACTGCCATTAGCTCCTGCCAAGTTGGGAGCCAATGGGAGGTAGCCCTTCATATTCTGCATGGCATGCCTTCTACCGTTCGGCCCAACGTTTTTAGCTTCAGCGCAGCCATCAGTTCCTGCAAGGAGCAGTGGCAGCAGGCTTTGAACCTGGTGGATTCTTGGTCTCAAGCTCGTTTGCATCCGACAGGATCCCACAAAGCTTGGCTGGTGAGTGTTTCAAGGCTGACTTGGTTGACTAGATAGCATATTTTGTTGGCCAGATTCTGGCGCACATGGGTGCCATCCCATGTATGGGTGTTGCTTTAGCCGGTTCCCCTTTGGCACATGGGACATGATTGGACCCCCAGGTTGTGGAGGCATATAGTCTTCCAGGAACTTCGGGGTTCCATTTTCAGGATCCATTTTAGACTGCGGGGAGGCAATCAATATATATATATACATATATATTAAATAGTATAATTAAAGATGTTACAGAATCAGACTGCAAAGTGAGGAGTTGATGCTGGAGTGCGAGGTTGAGCCAAACCATGTCAGTTTGAATGCGGTGCTCAGCTCACTGGAGAAGGGCCACCGGTGGCAAGAGGCGTGGAGCTTTCTCAACTGCATGCCAGTGCAGCCTGACGTCATCAGTTTTACTTATGCTATCAAGGCCTGCCAAGATTCTCAAGCATGGCAGGTGGCGCTAAGAATTTTGACGCACATGAAACGTGTGGACGTGCAGCCGAATTCTGCCACATACATGTCGATGATCAGCCTTGGCTGAGCTGTGAAGAATTCATGGAACTACCTATTGGCTTAGAATGTGGACTGTAGAATGTGCTTCTTTCAGCAATCTACAGTGCACTGAGTGCACATGCCTAATGATCATTTGGGCGGAACTGATGAGCCTCTCTGCTAGAAACTAGTAGAGCAGGCCGTTTTTCTGTCCAGTGAGGGAAGCCGAGCCCGCTGACACCTCCGAAGCTCGGACGTTTTGGACCTCCGAAACTCGGATGGCATGGCTGCCATGGCAGCCATGCCATCGAGAGATGCACCACCCGGAGTGTGACCACCTTTGGGATTTGGAATGCATCAAGGCGAAGCTGGGTACCATTTTTGCCATCGTTATCACACATATACTATATATCATGTACTTTGGCCATTGAAGTGCCTTCCAAGACCCCCTGCGAATGCCGCTGGTTCCGGAAAAGCCGCCTGCGACGTCGAGGTCGGCTACATCTTGCGCCTTGAGGGGGCCAAAGCGCTCCTGGACGCCCAGGTCGAGGCGATCAGCGAAGCTGGGCGACCGGTGCCCACAAGTGATGGAAGGGCATGTCCGGTGATGTGCACTTTTTTCCCTCATGATGGGTTGCAAATGATCAAGTCATTTCGGACTTGCCACATTGACTATATCTATTTATTTGTACTTATCGATTTGGTCAATCGAAAGGTGATGAGGCGATATGGTTATATCATGGGGTGACAATTGGATACAATGCGATGCATGACTATGCCAGTTGCAGTGTTTCACTACAGGTTCCCCAGGAGCCACCCCTTCCTTCTGGTGTTTTTTCCAAATGTATGATGGCATGTTGTTAGTTCTCGTCAGGGTAATAGGAGCTCGTCAAGCATTAGCACTTGCCGACAGGCTACATCCGAAGTTTTGCTTCTGAAGGTCACTTTGACAGTTCATGTCACTTCTTTGGAGAAACACCGGCCCATTCTCCGCATGCACCCACGCCAGCGTGCTTTCTTGCCGCTGGACGACTTCTTCTCGGTGGCGGCTGGCCGCGGGATGGACTGCTTCTACAACGACAAGGCGGAGTGCGTGGAGTGCATGAACAACGCATGTGGCGAACGATCCGTCGCCGATTTATTCGCATACCTTTACTCTCGCACTGACTAACATGGAAGATCATTGACATGGAAAACCCTGTTTGATCCTGTTTGTAAAGCAACATGGTTTTCAAAGGGAGTCTATGTTGCATTATGTTTCACTTCATGTTAGAGATTCAAAGCGTACCTTCTATTTCCTTTTATCGTTGAGGATGCTCAATTTTTTCACACATCGTCCGGTAATTCATTGAACACATCGTCCGGTCTTCGGCGAAGCTCCAGCTTCGCAGCTTTTGCAGGCCGAAGCTGGTGAACATGCGGTTAGGATTCGACGGTATTGGTCATGATATGTCATGATCGCCCATGATCAGCAACAGCCTGACAAGTTAAGTACAATTTTTGAGACAGGCCTTTACCAAGTAGCCATCACCACCCACTGTTGCGATCGCAGCTGGCCAGTATATTCAACAGAAGAGCCAATTATAATTGGCGTTCCACTTGGCACCGCAGTCTCATCCGAAGTCAATGGTATTTTCATGAAACACAGCCAGATGCAGCATGCAGTCTGTGGTGACAGCATTGTCAAGGCAATAGCTCATGCCCTTCTGAAACCCAATGCTCGCAAGAACGGGCTTGGGGTGCCTGTCTCCTCTCCACTGTTTTCCCTTTTATGGAAGCTTCACCTCCAAACTAGTTGCTGTCGAATCTTGATGAGATGCCCCAAAGCGGCAGCATTGTCGGGCAACTCACACGACCTTACATATAACTCATGCAGCCATGTATAAGAACCAAGCACCCCCAGATGCCAAACACATACTTTGAAGACCGATGTTTGGGTCATGGAATCCCCAAGGCTTAGTAGATAGTTGACTAGTAGATGGCCCCCCTCCTTAAAGTGTTCAATTAGTGACCCAGCCTCACCAACTGTACAACACATTCTACATGCATTGACCCTCTTAGGTCACATATGGTCAAATGGTATTTGGTATCCAAACCGCGCACCATCCAAACGGCGCAATCGCAAACTTGGCAGGTCCTCGAGTGGAAGCCCCATGTCCCGGTGCTTCTCCGGCCCTTCGCTTTGACCCCGCCCTTGGTCATGCCGTGCGCCGAGATCGCTCGCTTTCGAGCGGCGCGGTTCACCTCCATGAGACGATCCAGATGACTTGAGGCAACATGACACCAATTTCAAGACAAATGCAATGATGGCCATAGTACCTCCCTGAGGATCCCAATGACTGCTATTTTTGGAGTCGCACGGCCTTGAATGCTGTTTTGGAGTCAATACTCGTTACGGTTTACGGGTTGAGTGTGTTGCTTCAATGTTTCAATTTCTCATGACGGCCTATCGGCCAAACTTGCTCATTTCGTTTTGGCCACCTCAGCATACATTACCCGGCATAAATCAAAGACTGATTTTCGGGGTTCCAACGCGGTTCCGGGTCTCTATTTCCAAGAACCAGGCTAGTTTCTTTGCTCGTTCCCTCCATCGCAGAGCTTGGGAGGGAGCTGAGGTCATATTTGTCACAGAAACCAGCGCTGTGAGCGTGTGTATTTTTCAGTGTTACTTATGCAGAGGAAAATCTAAAAAGTTTTAAGTATTTCCTATGCACAGGAGAATATGTGAATACCAAAATACCCAAGACCTAGAGGAAATACCAAAAATACCAAAGACCTAGAGGAAATACAGAAAATACCAAAGACCTGGTATTTTTGGTATTTTTGTGGCGTTTCCTCCAAAGAAGTTGTTAAGAAGGTATATTTTAGATGATTTGTCTATGATATACAGGTTTAGTATTCAGACACTTCTTTGAGTTTCCCATGTACGTATTGTTTTCCAAAGATTCGGTGCACAGATCTCAGTGCCGCTTTCTTGTGACGGCATTGGTACGCCTGGTGGTGTGGCGCGACAAATCAGAGAGATTTAAGTTCCAAAATTCTAAACTCTCCTGAACCCAGAATCTATAACTTGCTGGCTTGAAACCATTGAACATAAAATTCTTGCGTCGAATCCATGAGTTGAATTCTTCATTTATGTTGGTGCGAATTCCTTTGAATCGTTTGCGCTCACTGCCCGTCAGTTGAGCCTTGCTGCATTTATTTTATGATTACCGCGATGGAATTCATCTACAATGTAGTGCTTCACCTTCTTGAACTTTTGCTTGGGGGTTTTGCGGCGCAAGATGTATTCTGGTGCCACAAGCGCGGGGCTCTCCTGACTAGGGTCGAGATCAATGAAGGTCTGAGACGCTTTGAGTTCAATGCCTCAAGCTTTGGCTTTTTTTTGGTGAAAGCGGTCTTTACATTCTTCTTCGATCTCTCGCTTGGCAGCCACTGCCTTCTCAGTACTTGTCTTTGTTTTGGGCTGAGGTCCAAAGAGTGCTTCCCGAAGTTTCACGCGATCCCTTTCTTCACGCTCACCATTTTTGCGCATGCTGTAGACCTTTGACATGACAGATGCGAGCCATTCTTGTTCCTTGGCGAGATCTTCTTCCCAGTCATCAGGCACCTCCTTACAACCTTCCTTAAAGAGACCGTACTGCTTCTTTCCCTCTGCCGTCAGGAACTCCGATACCGGCATTGTTTTCCGTTCTACTGGTTCTTGGTTGATGCCGGAATACATGTGCTCCTTGGTATTGAGTAGGAAGCAAGCTCGTTTGAAGACAGCGTCCATGTGAGGTCTGCTTGCTAGCTCGGCGAAGGCTTTTTTGACCATGTCATAGAACACCGTGAAAGGGATCTGTGGAATGAAGCTTTCTGGAAGATCCACTCTGTCATCATAGCTGTTGTCTGCTGCGGCACGGGGTTCGTTTTGCACCCACTTCGTTGCCCCCCACCGTGCCCAGCACATGGATTCGTAGAGTCCCACATCCAGAAATGCCTTGACGAGTTTGATGCTCAAGGTGGACAAGGTGGCGTCGTCCAGAAAGTCGCCCATGACCACTGAGCCTGGTTCGCCACGTAGAAAGTCGATTTCTGGTGTAAAGCGGATACAAGGTTCCGCTTCCACTTCGAAGTGCACCTTATTGAAGCGGGCCTGAGCCATGAGAATGCTCCTGCCCAGTGGGCTCTTACCTGCGCCAGGTTCTCCAAGCAGAGCCAACGCTGACTGATCAAACTCCCAGATATCCTCTAAGATCTGAAGTAGCCATGCGTGGTAATACTTGACGGTGCAAAGCTTTCTCATTCTCTACCAGCGCAACAGGCCATCCATAGATTGGCGAATCTGGGTTGCGAAGGGATACAGTATTTTGTTTGCCAACGGAGTTGTTGCGTTTGAGAGGTGCTTCGAGGGCCAAATTTGAGGATGTAGTCAAAGCCAGCGTCAATGTCGTCATCCTCCTTGTCTTCAACCGGAATGGCTTTGGAAGAGCCTTTGCGAGCTTGGCTGGAAAGCTCGCAGAGTTTGAATTGCCGGCCACCCAGGCCTTCGAAGGCGAATTGCAAGATCTTACGACCAATCTTTGGATTTGAATGCATCCATTTTGATCGGTAAGGGGTGCCATGGACAAGTTGACGGAGCATACATACTGTACCTTGACTTTCTTAGGAAAGCTGAAGTGCTTCACAATGGTGTAGTGATCAGATGTGTTTTTGAGGATGGCCATCTGCATGGAAACCTTTTTCGAGACAACCGCTTTCAATCCAAAGGGAGGTGGAAGAAGCTGCAAGTCTTGTTTATCACATGCTTCTTTGTAGATGCGGCCTAGTGCATGGAAGTCAATCTCAGCATCATAGTCATGAATGATATCGAAGAAATGCACTTGAGGTATCCACATCGTCCTTTGGGAAAGATGCCAAGTCGAAAGTTCCACGAGGAAGCTCTGGTGTGATGTTGGGTGCAGTGTTGCGACATGTGAGCCCTTCCACTATGTCCTTCAGATCATCGTAGCTCAGGTCTTCGCCAACTAGCGCCATGAGCAAGAAGATTGAGAGGACACGAGATACTCCAACACAGAAGACTACCCAGAGCAGCTCATGGAAGACAAGTGAAAGATTTCAGACAAATGCACCTTTTACTCCTTCAAAATTTTGTATGCAGTCAGTAAGAGCAGCTCATGGAAAACAATACTGCATTAAGTTTCATGGGCAGTCAATACTATACTTAAAAGTAAAGCAAAGTTGAGCATTCATTCATTGAAGACATGCTGTAATAGAATAAGCAGCACCACTGTGATTGTATGCATTTCATGTGGCAAAGTTTCTCTACTAGACACCTAAAAAGAGCTGGCTTTAATGGAAAATACACACTCACAGCGCTGGCCTCTCATTTGTCACAGGTACGTTGGCTCAATGTTTCTGAGTGACACGGCGAAGGTGCCACTCACCGATGCGGTGAACCATGCAACAAACCTTAGAATTGAATTGGTCATGGAAGTGAGGCTCGTCAGGGGTGCGTTTGTTGAAGTGTTAAGATGTGTTAATGTATATGTTACACAGTTCGTAGTGCTCTCTTGGCATGCTGCTGGGCCTGGCCGAGGTTAAAGTCTAGATCAAGTTCCATTGATTTGTCAGAGTCGCCACATCGCTCTCGCTATCAAGTTGGAACATACAAAAGACCACGATAAGAGGTGTTTTCCCTATGGATCCCTATGGCATTTTTTGCCTGCTTTTGGGGAGGTTTCAAGGGCCTGCGTATGATTTTCCATACATATAGATGTTTTGGCAAAGGTACGACTTGATGAGTCCAGTACTTTGGGTTTCGCCGCCCAGTACTTATAGTCACATGAGTGTCATACCACAATGTGTCTTACCCCAATCAAAAAGAACACCAGCCAAGTAAGCATGGAACAGTGAACATGACCCATTCTTACGGCTGCCCTGTTCGGTGTCCATCCAGACCTCGACTCTCTGCAGGTGCGGAATGCTACGCGCTATGTACAAGACCTCCCGCCTTAAAAAGCGGACGTGGAGTGTTCGCAGTGTTCGGTCGGAAACCATGCACCGGGCTCTGTTCGGTTTGGCGACCATCCGGTGGGCCTCTTGGTGACCTGTTGAATGGTGTCAAGTGGCGGCTCAGCGACTTGAGGCACAAAGATGCAGAGAGGAACTTCCTGGTTGCTAGAACGATGAAGGGGGTTAGTCCGTAGATACAGAGAGTTATAGAGATGGAGGCAGGTGAGAGTTTCTTGATCTAGCTGGGTTTGTTTCACTCAGGCTCTATATTGTTGATATGCCCTTTAATGTATGTGTATATCAATATAAATATATATATTTATATAGTTTCATATATATATATATATTAATTATATAATATGTATGTTGTACATTTGGACCTCGTTCATCCCAAGAATGTCTGTTTAGACTCTAGACTGACAGATGTAGAAATGAACGTTCATGTGGTCGTTCACGTCCCCTCCTCCGGACTTCCGGGGAGTGATCGCTCGATGCCATCCGCGTATGACACCGGACGGTCATCCGTCCCGCGTGACGTCCAGCGTAGGCACAGCTGGAGGAACGAGGTCGGAAGATCGAAGAGATGGGAAGCCGGAGGGCCAAGCGGTTGGGTCCCGTGTGCGGTGCTGTGCGGTGCCCTGTTCGGGGGTTGTGGGTCTTCGAATCTAGCATGGTAAACAGGGGTTTCATGGGGAAGCGTTTGGTAAACCAGGACCATCTGGTTGAATCCAACATAACGAATTCCGAATAACCCAACAAATCTCCATCCCGTGATGAAAGATTCATAGAAGGCAGAAGGCCTTAGAGGCCCCCATGACGATCAACATCCCATTGTTTGGGTTTGGATCATAGGGATGAGGATTCGCGAGATGCCCTCGACTCACATGGTAGTAAGATGCACTTGTTGGACGTTGCTGAGCTGTCAGCAGAACATTCCACCCACTACGGTTTGAAAAGGGAGAATCAGGCAATATTCCTGTTGCTATGGATCCACGTGCATCCTCAGAAGGCCGTTTTTGATCAGTTTTTGCCTCCAATGCTTTGTCCTGGTGCAGCGAAACCGAAAGGAGCGCGTCAGATAAGCTGGGCATATCTATTGAGGTTTAGTTTAGTTTAATTAATTGTTGTTTTTTTCTTGCTTTTTTGTTTGTTGGTCAGCTGGATCTTCCAACTTTGCAAGGTGTTGGCCGCCTTATGGTGGACTTTAGAGATGAAACTGCAGACATGTTGCACAGTTGAAACAATATATCAATATTTGCTTGCAAGATG